CCGGCCGACGCCTTTCTAGTGCCCTCTCTCACGCACAACCTCTTCAAGCAAGAGACAGAGGCCATCGGGATGGATCTGATGGCGCTCAACATTCAGGTAAGATAGATGAGAGGAATCTGCTTGCTTTAGGTGATTTTTTTGCTTTCCGAGAAATTTGTTTACTTTGTCAGGAATTTGCTTCCGCACTTTTTTCTTCTGCATATCAATTTTCCTTGCTTTCTGTTTTTTTGTTTATTTTTTTTTCTCTCATTAAAGAAATAGAATCCGAGAAAATAGACGGATAGACAGATCTGTAGCTCAAGAAACAATTTTTTTGCGTAAAACACATTGCAAAGCTATATAATATTACCAGTCACCTTTTATTTATGATTCTCGTTCTCCCTTTCTGATATCATATCATATCAACTAACATTACTAAACGCTGGAAAATAGGTTCCATAACCTCTCTCATCACCCATTACGCCCTTTTCATCTTTCATTATATCCTCTCATCACCCATTCTACCCATCCTCTCACCCATTATGCCCACCTCTCATCACCCATTATCCCGTCCTTTCACCCATTCTACCCTTATTCCCCCTGTTGTGCCCACCTCAGAGAGGGCGTGATCACGGCATCCCGCCATACACAGCGTGGAGGAGAGGCTGCAACCTCCCCGTGCCCGCCTCCGTCAGCGACCTCGCCCAGATCATGTCTCCGGTGGTGGCGCAGGAGTTCCAGGGGCTCTATCCGTTAGTATACTATTTAGTTAGTATATCTTTTTTGTTGTCTTTCTTTTTCTTTCTATAAGTTCTTGTTTTTTACCCCTTTCTATCTTTTCTTTATTTTTTTAGGTCTTTCATTATTGTTTTTTTAGGTCTTTCAATATTTTTTTCACGCTTTTCTATATATATATATATATATTTTTTTTTTTTTTGGGGGGGTATCTTTGGTTTAATCATCTATAGAAGTCATCAAGCTGTGGCATAAGTTGGAATTGTAAATTACACCGCAAATCATATGATTATAAGTTACATCCTAAGTTATCGTTGCAGGTTACATCACGTTACAGTTTTAAATTAATTCAGAAATTTCAGTAACAAGATTGAATCGTAATCCTTATTACAGTTACGACAGCGAACCTCCATCGCGGTCCACAACCATAACCACAAACACAATTTCGCCACAAGCTAACAGGAATTCCGTCGCGAAAATAACATTACAAGGTCATCACAAACTAACAGTAACTTCATCACAAAAATAACATCACATGAAGTTACAAGAATTCATGCCATGTTTATCGCAGGTCAGTTGACGACATCGACCTGTTCCCCGCTGGTCTGGCCGAGCAGCCTGTACCCGACGGCCTGCTCGGTCCTACCTTCACCTGCATCATCGCCCACCAGTTCGCCAGACTCAAGCGAGGAGACCGATTTTGGTTCGAAAATCCTAACCAGCCTAAGCCTTTTACTGAAGGTAGGCCTATGTGTGTGTTTTATGTATATTCCGTTGTTTCCATTTATCTATTTCTTTCTCTATTTATCTATTAATTTATCTATTTGTGTATTGTTTTTGATTCTTTGATTCTGGTTCGAAAATCCTACCCAGCCTAAATTTTTTGCTGAAGGTCAGCCTTTGCATGTTTTTATCATGTATAATGCCTTATTTTAATTTATCTTATTCGGCTACTCATTTATTTATTTATCTGTCTATTAATTCGTTTGTCTATTGTTTTTTATTCTTTTGATTATGGTTCGAAACTTATAACCAGCATAAACGTTTTACTGAAGGTAGGCCCTTATCTCCATCATCATCATTACCTTTATTGTTATTATCATAATCACCATCTTCATTATTAGAATTCTTTGCATCATTATCATTGTCATTACCATCATCATCAATAAAAATCCAAAACAGAGGTGGAATAACTCAGTGGTATAGTGCTGGCCATATAATTGCAAAGTCCTGGGTTCGCGCCCAGTCGCCCCTCTCAGTCGACTCAGCTGTGAATCAGAACTGGTATGCTGACATCAGCGTATTGGGGTCAAAGTCGAAGCGGAAAGGAACTGGCCACCCTGCCGCATCATCCCGCGGCTTTGAAAGCATGTTCCTTTACGAACATGATCCTTACGTCTATATGAATATGGGATTAGCTTTGAGACTTTCATTTGCAAACTTTCTGAAAATCATTTTTCTTTATTATCTCTCTCTAACCGCAATCCTTTCCCGCAGCACAACTGGCTTCCATCCGGCGGATCGGCCTCTCCTCAATCCTTTGCCAAAACAGCAATCTCGAATTCATTCAGCTTAACCCTTTCATTTCTGCCAATGTTCGTGGGTAAGATCAAAGTGTGTGTGTAGATGTGTGTGTATACACACACACACTCTCTTTATTTTAAAGTAATCATTTGTCTTATTCTTTGACGTCAACTACTATCAATGCTGACTGTTTGATGAAATATGGTAATCATAACTATATACGAAAAGGTCCTACAGGGTGAACCAACAGCTCCTGGATATTCTAATTATTTAGCCATCCCTCTCCTTCAGTAACGAGCCTCGACCCTGCGCCTCCTTCCCCTCCCTGGACGTGTCTCTGTGGCGGGAAGGAAGCACCACCCCGAACCCAACGTATCCTACAGGACCTACACCGTATCCGTGAGTGTTAGGGTCCTTTGTATTAGTATCAAGTGGTCCTTTTTTCGTTGTTGTTCCCTTTTGTTGTTGTTTTTGTGTTATTAGCTGATATAAAGTAATTTTGTTTCGGTGTTGGTTGTTATAATGATATATGATATATGTTTAATTTCATTGTCTTGTTTTCGGGTTGTGGAGTGTACAAGGGCGCGGTTTAGACGATATATAATGGTTATAATACTACTAAGAATACTAATATAAAATATTAAGGACACTGCTTTTAGTAGTAACATCAATTCATAGACAAATGAAAAGTAAGCTCTATCATCTACAATCATCCTATTACCATCTACAACTAGGCCGACCCAGCCTCCGTCTTACTACCTCCCTGTTCCCCCACCCGGCAGACCGGAAGGTAGGTGTAGAGGCGCAGGAGTGTGGCATGGTTTCCCTGGCATGGCCCGCTGGTGTGCCCAAAACTGCTACCACACTGAGTCTTACTGCCCGCCCTCCCACTGCCAGTGTTCCTAACCGCACGCAGGAGGAATAGTTTGCAAGCGGGTGCTCCGGTTTGAGTGATTTCTCGGTCACGTGTTAACAAACCAATATCGCATGGGTTGTTGCATCATCGTACTCGGGTTTCGGCATAGCGTAGTGGGTCTAACACTTTGATTATTGTGAGGTTTGTAGCATGCTTGCATCGCCCGCTCGCTCGTGCTCTGACTGACAGTGTTTAGGGTTAGCGGTCGGTTTATCTTTATTTATCATTTATAGGATTAAGCTTCCCATCACTGGATATGGATTATCCCCAACGTCAACCGTGGTCCAAGCTATACCACGATCGATGTTGGAAGCGCATCTAGTCAGGCGAGGTGGTCCTGCCAACACAAATTTCCTACAAGGAAAAACTCATATAGAAAGCGAGACTTAAGCATGTAGAATACTAACTTATAACCCAGTATGTTTGTATTTGTGAAACCGTTGGCACTTCGCGGTATGAATGATGTATCAAGTTTGATGCTTTTATAAGACATGTAGACATTTATTTATTTTGTGACCTGCTTTTTTATAACCCACATCATTCCACAACTGACCGGGAAATACTGACAAATAACAACTCCGTGGTAATATATGCATCCCAACTAGTCATGTCAAACACCAGAGAGTATAAAAACTTAGCACACGCACCAGACTACATTGGCAGCCTACACACGGAAGCGATAATTACCTCCGCCAAGGAGGTTATGTTTTTGACGGCGTTGGTTTGTTGGTTAGTTTGTTTGTTAGCAGCCTAGCTCAAAAAGTGCTGGCCGGATTTCATCGAATTTTTGGGGACAAGTCAGAAAGGGACTAACTTAGAACTGCTTAAATTTTGGTGACATTCCGAATTATCGTCTGGTTATTATTATTATTATAATTAATTAATCAATAAAGTACACAAATCTACGGTAAATGTGTACCACATTTCACTGACATTCTGAATTACCGTCTGGACGCAGCAGCGGTGTAAGTACATTATATACGCACCTTGGCGGAGGTATGCACTCTCTGAGTGCTTTTCTAGTTAATTAACGTAAAATACCAACCACTTCAGTACAACTTTGTCTGGAGTGTAAAACTTAAAGCATTTTTAAAAATGGGATGAAAACAATAAGGATAAATACATATGTTAGTGAAACATTTTCTCAATATTCAGCGCGCCACATATAAACCAGGTTGTCAAAGGAAAGATCTTGCATGTACCGGTTTCTTGCTACACTGACGTTTATAGTTTAACCGCTTGTAGTAATACAAGAATGTGTCTATTGTGTGTTTGTGTATAGTGATATATGTATATATGTATATATATAGACAGATAGCGACATTTATGTGAGTGTGTGTGTGTGTCTGTGTACATGTGTGTATGTACATGTGTGGGTGTGTATGTGTGTGTGTGTGTGTGTGTGTGCATGTGTGTACATGAGTGGGTGTGTGTACATATGTGTTTGTGTGTGTGTGTGTGTGTATGTGTACGTACATCATATATAGGCAGATAGCGACATTTATGTTTGTGTATATATATACATATATGTCTGTGTGTGTGTGTGTGTGCATGTGCATGCGTACGTGTGTGTGTGTGTGTGTGTGTGTGTGTGTGTGTGTGTGTGTGTGTGTATGTACATCGTATACAGACATATAGCGATATTTATGTGTCCGCATATACATACATATATATATATATACATATAAGTATGTGTTTGTGTGTGTGCGTATATGTGTGTGTATGCGTACATCGTTACTGCATTGTTAGTTTTCTAAGGTTCCAGAGCTGTTAAAATGCTTACAGATTTCTAGAGAAAGAAGCTTGGAGTGGTAATTATTTATTACTTTTCATGCTGGTTTAGTTC